CAATAATTTTCTCAATATGTGTGTTGCTTTGTTTTACCATGCTAATAGAAAACATAACAACGCATATAGGGTGTCTTAGACTCTCCTCTGCAATATTTGTGGGAATGTACAACGAATTGAGGTGAATATAATGCTGCAATTCTAGACAGAATCGTAAGTCTGGTAACTTGTTCTCGTAAAATTCGTAAGAATTTATGATACAATTCTATGCGTATCATATATTGTACGATTATTTGTAAATATCGTAAATTACGTGAAATCGTAGATATTTACGAATGATCATATGATATACGGTACGTATAGAATTGTAGATTTACTCACAAATTCTTACGAATTTTACGTGAGCAAGTTACGAATCTCACGATTCTATTTAGAATTGCAGTATAAAAGTCTTATACCGATATCAACAATAATAGTCGAGATATTAATTAACCCTTTATAGGGCAAGACTCCTTGGATATGACAAATGAGTTTTTTTCTTTTGAACTTCATTAAAATAGTCCTTAGAGATATTTTAATATCATTTTTGAGAAAGAAATTTTTGATAAAAGATATCAACCGGTATAACTAGTTGTACCAGTGATTCAGAGAAAGTGTTTAGAACCACTCCCGATTCTCTCAGCCAATTCTGTGTGTGCTGTTGGTACGATTTATGTACCAATGCCCTATAAAGGGTTAAAGAAAATTCGTGAAGGATTATGCGCGATATGATAGATGAGTTGTAACAGCGATATGTGCTGTTATATGCTTACACATTAAGTCAAATTGAACAAAAAATACTATTATTTTATTTATTATTTTAAAAATAGATTCTTACGTAGATTTCTCACGTAGATTCTTAGTAATTAATGAAAGGAAATTGTTACATGATTGTGTGCGATAATGTACAAGTCTTTTTTAATTAATTAAATTAATTTAATTAATTTAATTAATTTGATTAATTTAATTAATTAAATTAATTAAATTAATTAAATTAATTTAATTTCTCATTTGAGAAATGGTAGACGACATTTTTGTTCAGTTTGACCTAACATAAGTATATAAAAGCAGACAGCGTCACTATAGTTCATTTACCATATCGCGCGTGAGCATTCACTAATTTTCTTTAATTAACATCCCAAGATTTATTGTGAATATCGCAAAACGGTATAGGGCTTTTATGTTTATCTCGATCCGTTCAATGTTCCCACAAAAATTGTAGAGGAAAGTCTGAGATATCCTGTATAGAAAACTTTTTGTAAACTTTTCGTATACTTTCGAGCTTTTACATTCAATTGCAAAGATACAGAAATGTTCCTTGAAATTTTCGTTAGTGGAGCAAACACTTGTACGATATCTACAAACTACAGAATGTTTGTGTATCGAATAAATATTTACACCAACTGACAGTTCCAAATGTCAGTTTAAAAATTTTTTATCATTTTCATCAAATATTGACCAATGCTCCAATTCATTATTATACGTAAAAATTTCGTACGTTTTAGTGTGTAAAAGCATTTGTAATTTTGCTAATGCGACATGAACTTTGCAGGAAAAGGTCAATATTTTATCAGTAAAGTTTTCAAATATGGCATCTCCTTAACATGCACACAGAAAAATACATATTATATTTAAGTAAATGTTACTTATTTCAAGTATTTCATAAGTATACATCCACATCTATCTAAGTTCATCATAAGCATCAAATTTATTCAAAATACATTTTGAATTCTAGTAAGTTTATCATTGCAATCAATAATATTAAATTAAAATAAAACTTCAACTTGCTTACTACATGGAGTCAAACTATATTATTCTTAAAAAAAAATTTATAATATTATAATATCAAAAATTTTATAATATCTTCTTGTAAAGGAAATAAATTCATCTTATGATTTTACATAATAATGAGTTTTTTTCTCAGATTCGTATGATAAATATATCTTTAAAACTACTATCAAGTAAATACTCTTTATTGAAGATAACAATTATTCAAAAAGAGGGAAATAAACTGAGTAATCGTTTCTCTTAGTAATGGAAGACTATTTTTAGTGAGCACACAAAAAATTTTGTGCCTCCTTTCAATGTGAAACCGACTCTATATTCCGATGATATCGATTTTATAGCCTCCACCAAGCTAAGAAAATTGAACATGATGTTTCCATATGCCATGTTGCGAAAAATACTACCTTAGCCGGGAATTTTTTGCAGTTCTGTTATCACTTTCATCGGCAATCACTTACCGAGCGCTGAATTGCGATCGCCAAACAATCGCCTCCATCGCGAGCAATCGGTCGCGAACGAGAGAATCGATCGTAGTGTTTTGCACTTTTTCTGCCTACGGATAATAATGTATTCCTATGAAATTTTCAAATGCATTCCTACACGAAATGTTTCCCTCACGTTTCCCACACAATGGAACAATAGAGCGGAGGAGAGTTTTCAGCGACCATATTGCGTCGGGGATATGTATCCGGATGTATCAGATATTTGACAATCGTATTCCCTTTATCGAGATTGCAATTCCATCCGGGCTTACAAGGCAACTCGGCCAACCGGCTGTCCGCGAGTCTAAATGGACGCATTAATCTGGCATCCAATCGTCGTTCTAACGGATATCGCGGCGAACGTCCTAATTACTCGCTCGTCCGCTTGTTATATTAGTTTGCAACGTCGAGACCGCTCGCAATCGCGAAAATGGAAAGCGTGACTGCGCCGATAACAATAACGCATTATGTTTCATCAAAGGTATCTTTTACCGACACTTATTTTCGTTCATATTTCCAATTTTTTAAAAGGTGCAATTTTCCTCGTCCACTTTCTTTATCAAAAGCGCGAGAAATATGCGAGATCGCGTATCGGATTTCATCTTGATTTAGGTGCGTTCACTTCGAGAGAAATACGCGGAAACTTAATTTGTAGGAAAGACCGCAACTCATATAAATACCTCATATTTCAGAATTTCGAAGTTACAACTTCTCAGATAATTAATTATGGTGATTGGCTGTACAAACATAATGGACACAGCTTCCTTCTAAGTGTTAATACCCGCCACGATCTCCTGTTAATCGTATATTTTATTATTAATAACGACACGTTAAAACGAACGTAATACGCAATATGAACATGCAGCAACGTGGCCATCTTGCCCCGGACATCTGGTACCGGATTCGATTGTCTAGCAACGCAAGGTTTTAAGAAGCCACATTTAAAATATCCTTTATGTATCCTGATTAGCAGGGTTGAATAGTAACTAGTTAAAAAGTTAAAAGTTAAGTTAAATAGCTTTAACTTAACTTAGTTACATTTTTACACTTTTAACTTTTAATTTAACTTAGTTACATTTTATCGGTAACTATTAACTTTTAATTCAATTATCTTGAAGTTAACCATGCCATAAAGGTGTCGCGTGACGTCGAAAGGCTGTTCAGTGCAGGAGAGCTGATTTTCGACAATCCTCGAGGAAAAATGTCCGATAAAAATTTCGAAAAAACTTTATTACTTAAATTTAATAAGTATCTGTAAATAAAACATGTTTCCAAATTAGGTGTATATTTGTTTTTTCCATTATTTGTAAAACTAAAATCCTGAAGTCATTAAATGAAACAAATTTAACTTTTAACTTTTTAATTACTTTTTCTTATTAACTTAACTTTTAATTCAATTAATTTCATTATGGGTTAACTTTATCTTAACTAAGTTAAATTTTCAAAGCCATTAACTTTAACTTAACTTAGTTAAAAAAAAAAAAGTTAACTTATCCAACCCTGCTGATTAGTAGTTTCAATATCTGCGCGAGAGGTCTCCACAGTTCTCCTGCCAGCTCTTAATTATGAACCACCTTTATCTTGTTCACTTATATGCTCGATTTCAATCATTTTATAAATAAAAATTGCTTTTGTTATCCAAAATAGTATATTATATATTTGCAAAAAACTTTATTCTAGCTAATAACACGTCGCTTAGCTTTATTCACTTACGATAGAGAATATTAATACAAAATATCGAGAGGGAAAATTTACTTTGCTGCTACTAAATCAGTTTCTTTCTGTTTTTTAACTATAACATTATCCTGATTTTATAATGAAACTCTCAGGGGAAAAATATCTATGTTCTAAAAGGATTATTTCGCGATTTTGTACTCATTATTCCTTTCAAGATAAGTATTAAAAAAAGTACATGAGCAACATTCTCCTGAGGCCATCTAGACTAGGTCTCTCCTATTATACTTAACTACTTCAGTTAATGTTTATATTGAGCGATACGTGATGTCTGCTTATCGGCCTGTATTAATAGTCGTTATTAGAAATTAGTCTTACGTAAGGTACGTAAATCTGAATTAAATCCGTGAATTTAATGATCTTTCTTAAATTGAAATGTGAATACACATGTGAATACACAGATTTCAAATTAAAGTTAAATCTAAATTTCTTATTTGAATCATACGATATGCCTGACATTATATCTGTAATTTCTTTATATTGTTTGTAATTTTGCAGTTCAAATTAAAAAATTCATATCTAATTCGAAACTTAAATATCATTTGAGACAAGTTTCAAGTAACGATTATGAATATACATTTTAAGTCTTTATTAATAGTTCTTAAAATTGATTCCGCGTGCGATATTTAGAAAGAAAGAAAGAGAGAAAGAGATATTATGTCAGTGCTTATGACATGATGTTTTTAACAATTGTCTCTACGTTATCAACATTTTTAGAGCTTGTCATCCATTGTGACATCCTTTTAAAGTTAAATCTGAGATTTTTAGTCGAATCACACATGATATTCGTGACGTTAGATTCACAATCGCGATTTTATTGAAAAATTCATATCTAACTCCAAACTCAAATCTGAGTATCTTGCTTGAAACAAGTTTCATGTAACGACTATTAACACGGTTCCGTGTAATCTGAGACGACATAACGACGAGATTCGCCTTTCCGCGTTCGAACACCTCGCGATTTCGCGATTCTCCCGGTCGGCGAGAAAAGATGATAATCGTCTGCGCGGAATGTTGCAGATTCGCGATAACGTGGATAAGTTCCGCGATCGTCGGGCTCCTGCTGCTGGTAACGGTCTGCTGCAACGGATTGCAGTACCAGCCTCTCGACGCTTATGTAAACGGCGAGGACTGCGCCTTGATCCTGGACTCACGTGGAAGAACCAGCGTTTACGACTACACCTATAATTTGCTGCGCGGATCGTTGTAAGTACCCGCATTAGAACCGAATATGAATCCAACGATAGCTATCTCAATTTAGCGAAAGCCCAATGCGAAGGTGGACGGTAGAGTCCGGTTTCTCCCGAGTGACCGAAGTTATCTTTCAGCTTTGAGCTTGGAGGCAGAATCAGTGATCCGTGAATTTTCGCGATTCTAGCTGAATAGATCGCACTGTTACATCTTTTATGCGCCAACGAACTTTTTACACAGAGAGGAGAAGAGAACTTTGCAGTAAAAATTATTCTAAAATTTTCTAACCAAAGAACATATTTTGCCTTAATCTATTATTCTTCATATGTACTATTTATATTTTAGAAATTTTACAGGTAATATAATTTGATTTGAATTGATTATAGTCATGATTTATTAATTATTATATATATGATTGTAATTTAATTTAAAAATTTATCTTTTTATGAAACGTTTGCTATTAAAACATTTACCATGTTTCTTAGGAAGACAAATTCAACTTAGTCTATTCCTGTGCTATTAGGAAACGTGATGAAATGGAAAAATATTTGTTATATCTGGCTTTTTACATTCAACCATTGTTTGTTTCAATACACTTTCTATATTATACTGAAGAGGCTTTAAATTTAGATCGAAACATTTACACGTTATTATCTCTTATTCACGGCGAATTTGGAAGATTTATTTGGAAGATTTTATTAAAATTTAATTTCCTATAACAAATAACCTTTTACTGACTTAATTTTTCACGATCGAAAAACATTTATATGAGAAAGGTCTCTCTATAATATTTTCTCTCTGTATGGTTATTCTGAATTGATTTGCAAAGTTCTCCTCAATCTATTAAACGGCGCGGGAAGCATAATGCGAAGAAGGCTAATAGGAACGATTGTGTATCCATTCGGCTTCAAATATTATTTCACGAACACGGAGCGTGAGTGCGCAGCGAGAAATCTTTGTTGCGCAGAGCGGGTTAATTGCGCCCACAATGGGTTAATTGCGCTATTGTTAGACCGTGCACGATTCGGATTTAGAGGTACCACTGTTTATTTGCGGTATCTCGCAACACAGACGAGAGAGATTGGAGAGTATCGCGCATTCGCGAGAGAGGAAGGAAGAGGGAAAAGTACGGAAACAGGAAAAGGAAGATGAAGTTGATCTGATATTATGCGTCGAAGCCTCGAACGGGCATCTATCATCTATTAATGGGATACAATGTGGCAACTAGGAAACACGCATGCCTCGCTATATTGTGCGTTCGCCGGCCGCATCGTATAACGCGCGCTTACATAATGGAGTAAATCCTCACCCGACATTCTAGAGGATTAGAGAAAGCAGGAACTTCGCTCGCGCATAGTCCAGGACTTTCACTATCATCCTGTTCCCGCAGGACCAGTGGGCGCCGCGTCGATACCGGAGCTTACCGGTTCTTACCGTGCGACCGAGCGTACACCTCATCAACGCAAATACACTCGCGTCCCGCACAGAAAATTTCTTGGCATATAATCGAGATGCAATTTCTTGGCATATAAACCCCTATAATTAAAATAATTATGGATTAGAAGTGTAATATTTCAAACTTGCAATTCTAAATCGGGAATCCAAAGTTTTCACAATACTTTTCTCCATTTTCCGTCACAATTGGATGAAAACATATGTTGACTTGATAATTTCGTTATTCAGTAAAATTCGCAAAATGATTTTAAAAAACTTTATTTTTGGAATTTTAATTTTATCGAATACAATATTTGATATAAAAATAGGATTCCCCATTTGATACCATATAAACGAATCAAAACCAAGTAAACAAGCTGCCAAAGAATCTATTTCTATTTTAGATAAAAACTTATGTATAAATCAAGAATGAGATTCTCAATTAGTATCATAATGGCTTACCAATTTTGGGACAAATTTGATTATTCTAATCGGAATCTATGCTATATCTGGAAAAAATTTGAAAAGTTTCGATGGAAATTCCCGCATAGACAATTTCTTGGGATCTAATTGGGGTTCAGTTTAATTGCCCAAAGTAATTACGGGTTCTGGTTAGAACCCGCATGGAAATTTTCCAAATATTGCATAGATTCCAATTAAATTACCTAAACTTGCCCCAAATAAGTATATCATGTTGCGATACCAATTGAGAGTCCCATTCTTATATCACAAATATAAGAAATTTTCTAGGATCTAACTGTAGTATCTAGTTCAATTTCTCAAATAAATAAAGTTGTGATTGTAAATGGGAAACCTAGACAGATTCCATTTTCTCCAACCAACGTTTTCCCAATTTTTGTTTTATATTTTATATTTAGATTAAATAAAATATCTGAATATTAGAATGATCATACAATAACCTGAATATTTTATATGACCTAACGTTACAATTAATCTAATTATAAATAATTACATATAATATATTTACACTGTGATGTTAAGATTTCATATTTAAAGTAAAAAATATAATATATAATGTTTTATGATGAATACATATTTAATTTATTTTACAAAAAGTTTAATCAAAATATTTCAAACAGTTTGTGTATTTACATTATATAAAATTACTTGTGAAATATGCATAAACTAAATACGTTTCAAATATTTTGTTCAACAAAAATATAAAATAAAAATTGGAAAAAAAAAATTTTTAGGCAAACATTCGGCAAAAAAAATAGGATCTGTTTGGATTTTTCACTTATAATCGTATTTTTAAAACATTACACATCTAATCCAAATCTTTATAGATTTTCTAAGCAAATCCCATGATTTTTTGAGAAAATTGGACGGAATTCCAATTAGATCCCAGAAAAATTTCTATACGCGAAGCGTGACTTTCCATTGTATATATGTAAATACTATGGGATATTTTTTAAATTAATTTCCGTAGGGGATATATCGATTTTGGACAAAGAACTTGTAATTAAGCCAAGAATTGGGTTTCCAAATAGTATTATAATAGTATTATAATAGGATAAACAATTTTACGATAGATTTGTCTTACTGAAAAATTTCTATTGAGGTTTCAAATGAAATTTCCAAAAAATTTCCCTTATGAGATCTCAATTATTTCATATATCTCAATTGAGATATATGAAAAATAGAAAAGCTTTCCTTTTTCATTTTTAAATTATAAATGTCAAATTATTGTAATATATTTATAATATATATAATTGACAGTAACTTGATATTTATAATATAATCTAAAAATTAAAGAAAAATATAAATAACTTGATATTTATAATATAATATAATCTAAAAATTTTTTAAATCTCAATATTTTAATTAAAATACCATATGAAAAATAAAAAAACCTTTTCTTTTTGAATTTTTAGATTATATTATAAATATCAAGTTATTTATAATATAAACTAAAAATTTTAAAAACAAAAGCTATTTATATTTTTCGTATGATATCTCAATTGAGAAAAATAGCTTTACTTTTTCTCATATGATATCTCAATTGAGATATCATATGAAATAATTGAGATCTCATATGGAACATTTTTCAGAAATTTCATTTGAGATCTCAATAGAAATTTTTCAGTAGGGTGGTCACTCTCTAATCGGAATCTATACCGTATCTGGAAAGGTCTTGAGAAATTTCTACGCGGGGTGTACACCTACACGGATATTGCTTCTAAGTAAACTCGACCGGGTAGCGTATTGTATTACAGTGCACGGCTGTGTCGTAAAATTCGCTCCGCCCGTTCGATTTTTTTTTCAACAGCACTTTTACCGGAGCAGATCGCGTTTATGGTATAACGATCGACCCGGCATAAACAAGCCACGTAACATGACTGACCGTTACGTGTCGCCCGTGTGAACCCTGTTCGTTGTCGTTGCGCGCACGGAGTTGTGTTTATCGCGCGAGAAAAACATTTGTCTTGGCATTTCGAGCAACTTGTGCGTAACGTAGTGCCGAAAGCGGTGATTAAGCGCCGTTTCCTCGCGTCGCGGGAGCCAACGGGGACGACAACGCGATTTCAATGTTCGTGTACTTCCACGTAAGAGTGTCAAATTCGCCTGGAAGGGGAATTTACTGGAAAGACGGGAAATCACGGGCGAGATTATTATTACGAGGTTCAATTGCAGGGTTAACGTGTCGTATATTAACGTGAATTACGGCCCGTCGACGACGCAAAGTCAACGAAAAGGAACATTTCTTTGTCCCACGGCGCGACCGTGGACGCCGCTCGGCACGGCCGAAACCGAGTTAAACCGCGTTGCAATTACGCGCCGCATTTCTGTCGGCCGCGCCGTCGTAATTGGCCGTAACGCCGTATTCGCGGCTCGATTCGATCTACCTGATCTACCTGTCTATCGCGGTGGTTCGCGTACGTGGATACGCGAGCAGCGCGGTAACACGTTAATCTAACGCGCGATCAAGTACGGTCGCGTGAGAATCTTACCGCGACTAATTGAGCCTTTTGGGGGCGCGCCGCTAATAAGGTGCAAGAGGTTCGCGTTAAGATGAAACCGCTTTAAAGTAGATCGCGGAGTGACCAACAAAAAGCGCACAATGACGGCGTCACTGACCAGAAAGGGACGAATTTAAGGTTCGTTAATTACACAGGTTTACAAGGTTTTTATCACAAAAGAAGTAAGAGGTTTACCCGAAGGAATTTGGTGCGCTGAATTCAAATCTGGCCTCAGAATGACGCCATCACGTAAGGATTTTGAGATATTCTAACCTAGAAGTACAAAAATTGCTGTTTTAGGGCATTATTGGAGTTTCCTCCAATAATGAGAGTTGCATAGAATTTTACCGAAAAACTAAACAAAGTACTGTAAAGTACGAGTCTTGCCCTTCAATTTCCATTTTGGAACGTCCAAATAGGATTTTTTTTCATTGAGATACAGCAGATTTAACTTTTTACTGCATACAGAAAATCAAATAAAGCGATGAAGTCGGTTCATTTGAAATATCTTAACCCTTTTGGTTTTGAGCAATTCTGGAAAAAAGAGTTTGTAGTTCAAAGGGTCCCGAAGGTCGCTGCTCCCAAATCTGGACTTATATT